ACAAATTTAATCGCTTTCGATGTTCTTGTAAGTAAGGATATCACGTAGCCAAAGCGAAAGTAGCACTACGATTGACATCAGCGCCACCTTGTCTGTGACGTCACTAACCTCGATGTATGGACCGAACGGTTATAATGGAGGAATATAAGCGCTTTCGACACTATATTTTCTAGCCACTGTAGCGACGTTTAACAGCCTAACAGCGTGTAGACGCGGCTGGCTGAACCGCGGTTTAAAATGCGTTGCAAAGACAACGCTCGTCTATTTCTTAACGCCGTCTAAACGAACCGCGACAAAACGTTGGCTATTACTTTCTTCGCTGTTACTTCCCCCTCTCAGGAGTCGTTTAACCAATCAGGTCATTCGTTTATAACATCAGAAAAATGACGATGAACAACGTGTTGAAATCATGCTGGAATTTTTCCGAAGAAGTGTCCTCTCAGAAATAATATAAAAACTATCCTGCAATTGAGGAGAAAGTTACAATCGTATTCTGGGGATGTAAAAAAACCGCATGTGAGATGATACAGAATGAATTTTTGTCGTCGTTTCCTTGTAGATCTGCTCGCAGCAAGACCTTATTATAAACGTCTCTATCATTTTACAAGAAACTTTTTAAATTTATTTAATGGTAGTTTGATAGACCTGCATACAGGACAGACGTGAACTCCGATAAGATCACCGGCTACCTTCTGGAAGCTTCCGGTGGCATAAAATCGTAATGCCATCAACAACTGTTGTTCAGTGGTTAGTGGCAATCCTCTTCCATCTAGATGATTTAAATTCATCTTCCGAATAGATTTCTAAAGGATTACTCCGATCTCGTTTACCCTTTCTCTCTTCGTAATTGTCGACATGAATAATTTTCTTGATTCGTCCCGTTTACAATATTCATTATAACATAAACTTAAATTGCAACCAATAAACGAATATGGCGACTTCTACTCAAGTAAAACGGTATGTACATCTGCTATAGAGGGAGTCTAGAATGTAGGTTAAATAACTTGCTTCTAATCGCTGTCTAAACTGTGATAAGCGAGAAACGCCGTCTCTGCAATTAAATTTTTTTGAACCGCGATGTAGATAATCTCTAAATCGTCGTTGGCGTCTAAACGTTGTCTCTGCAGTCGGCTGATTGAGCTCGACCAGGTCTACAATCGGTCCGCCGGGTGGTAAGGAACATATCCGGATGGACAATCCCTAAAAAGTTCTTGGGGTTTTTTGATCCCAGGTTTCCAGAACGGTAGACTGCCAGCTCAATTGCTTGGCCATCCCGCCGAGGCTAAATTTAAGTTAATAAACTACATTTCTTAAACTGTAATTCATAAAAGAATGTTTAAAACGCAGTGGCGTAGCGTAGTGGGGGCGGCAGGGGCGGTCCGCCCCGGGCGGCACTTTTTAGGGCGCGGCAAAATTTCACAATAAATAATAATAATATCTTGTAAAAATTTGAACCATTTCATTTCATATCTTCGTCACACCTACGATTCGTACCGATTGAAATGAGCACGAGGAATAGTGTTACCATCCGGACAGTCCGGGAATCAACTCACCGTCCGGATGAACTATTAATTTTACCCGGAGATACCGTGCAGAACCTATCGACCTTATTTATTTATTCATTTTTTTTTTTTTTTTGCTTGTACGATTTATTCGTATTCATATACACCTCCAATATCCAATAGAGCTGTCATCTATGTTACTTACGTTACTCCTACCCGAGTCTCCCTAGTCGCTAACTGTATCTGATTTAGAACCAACATGCACTGCACATTATTCTTCGCATTGCAAAATGACATACGCATGCGTCAAGAACTTCTGTTCGAACAAACCTCACTTGCCGTCCGGGTCAGCGATTTTAAAAAGGTGGCAACAATAGCACGGAATTTTTCATTACTTATTCTGTGACTAAAGTGAATTTTAGTCTTTTAAATTGAGATACCTAAATAAGGGGACGGCGAAATTTTCCATTGCCCCGGGCGGCTGACACCCACGCTACGCCACTGTTAAAACGTTAATAAAAATGAAATTTGACATGTATTATAAAATTATCATTTAACTTCAATAACTACAAGGTACAAAAATAATTTAAAATTAACTACAATAATACATATTTTTTTATCTTAACAATCACACTACACCTAACACACTTTTTCAGCACAAATTTAATTAAAACAAACGTTTTAGACCCCGTTCAGAGGTCTGCGTCAGGTTAAAAACGTATTAAAATACAAATTAAAGAAAATAACTCATTTCTAATGATAGTTTGTCATTCAATCCTACTGATGTTTAGATCAAACATCCAGCACTCAAACACGAACAGTAACAAAAAAAAAACTTTATTAGAAAAGTCAGAACAGTCACCGACATCCTCGGGCAACACCCGGACAATCCAACGAACTTTCGTGATCTTGGCAAATGTTGCCAGACAGTGTTCAGGATCTCTGGCGCTGGCGGCCACAATAGAAATATAACTGCTATTTTTAAATTTACAAAATTCGAAAAAACAAACAATTTAAGTATTTTAAAAATTCGAGAAACAAATAATTTGCGTATTTTTAAAATGAAAAAATTAAAATAAATAAAAAATAAAATAATTAGGCATGTGACTACTTAACAAAAATTTTAAGTGGAGCCTATGTCGTTCTCTTGCCTCATCGGTTTATCAACTGGAGACTGCCATGCTTTGGATAACGTTTCTTTCTCCTTGAAATTAATGCATTCACTATTTCTAGATGCTTGGAATATTTCAAAAAGTTCTATTCATCGTAAATTGTTGATGTCAAACACCTTTTTTAATAATTTAGTCTGATCCCAACATACTGACACTCCCGGCTCACTCGCAAACTGGGCAAGTACTGTAATCTGATGAATTTGAAAAATAATAAATGCCGTTATTTAGTGCAGAAGTTGCAAGCCAAGTTTAAGATCACATCAAATAAGCACATGTTTCGAGTTTAAATTTCCAATTTTTGTTTAAAAACTGCAGCCTTCTATTGTAAGATCTTAAGAATGATGATTACAGTAGACTAAGTGAAAAGAAGATACGACTTGTTCCTCTGGGAATGTAATTAATTGTATTTATTTGAATTATTATTGAAAGTAATTTTCAGTTTGAAAGAAGTAATATTTTTACTTTTTTTAAAAACTTTCCGTCCTGTGGGCACTAAGAAGGCCTCCGTTAGCAAGCTCATTATGGGTTCGGTCAGGCCCACAATGGAGCGATCGGATGGTGAGGGACTGGGCTCGACATATTCAGACAGACCACTCCCCCGAAAAATTCCTGGGGATTTTTCCACCCGTCCGAATTCGATCCTAGATCCCCAGAGCGGTAGGATGCCACCTTGACCGTTCGGCCATCTGCCGTGGTATACTAGTAGTGAGTATGTAAAATAGACGAGATTACTTTCAAAAAATCCATAAACTTCGTATTATTTCATACATTATAATCCTTTATAATACTAATTTGATGAAAACAAAATTAAATAAGAATAAGTACAGTACTGTAAAATCAAATTTAATCAAATTATTTCTTATTTTAAATTTAACACAGATATTTTAAATAAATATAACGGTATAGACATATATAGACTTTATGTCTTTATCATGTATTAAATACGTTTATTAAAGACTAGCAGATGAGCCCGGCGTTGCTCGGGCGAAAAGTAACGATAGCGAAGATTAATATTATTAGATTATAGCCGATCTTACCCGTTTTCATCGGGTGCAATAATTAGGTTCACCCTTTTTCGAGATCAATTTGAGAATTTTTAGATGGGTTTAAAAATATGTTCGATTTCTTGCAAAAAATCACATTTAAAATAGTACAGTAAAATCCGAGTTCAGGAGAAGCCTCTCCCTCTCCCCCCCGCCGGAAAGAATTTCGAAAAATCTCTTCTTAGTGTACATTCTCGTGACGTACCCTAACTGTGTACCAAATTTCAACTTTCAACTCCTAACCGTTTGGACTCTGCGATTATTATTATAATTATTATCAACCCATCTCGATTATATTATAAGATTTTTACTGTTAAAATTGAAAATAAACCATTTACACGTATTTTTTAAAACTGCCCTGTAAACACTAACAGGGCCATTTTTAGCGAGCTCATATGGGTTTGGCCAGACCCATAATGGGGTGGCCGGGTGGTGAGGGATGAGGTTCGGGCGTTTATTTCATTCGTATTAGCAGCTAATATAAGTTTGTTAATGTATCTTAATGTAAGTTGTATAATATAAATGTTACAATAAAAACTTATTTTAATTAGACTGTAGATTGCGTGGAAAAAAAGATCACCCAGACTTACTGCACATACCGTACATAAACATAAAAAGTGTATTTCAAAAAGTAAAAGTATTTTTGTTTTTGTTATATTTTATTTTTTACTTTTAATTAAGAAAGCATATGTCTATGATAAGAATGATAATATAAAAGTTTAACTAAATTGATTTTGTCCATATATAAAGTTAAAAGATATTGCATTTCCATAAATTCTTTAATGTATATAAATAAATATCATTGAAAAAATTTAATATTTTGAATTGGTTAGTTATTGTAGTGTCATTCAACTCTTGACATCAATTGAATCCAACCGGTTATCATAACGACATAAAAACTCGCTTTTCTTATACAATAATCACATCTATTTCAACTAAGTTCTGCAAATATACATAAAAATTGTTATTTATAAAGATAACAGGAATTTTATTTTTACATCACATTTAATTTAGGAAAATCAGATAATCATTCTTAAAAATATGACATTTTTTAAAATTAAAAAATTGGCTTAGGGTGCCAATAGAAAATCAATACTAGATATTTAATTACTAGAAATTTAAATCAGAAACTCAATAATTTATAATTATTAATAATATATTTTTAATAATATTTAATTACGTGTAATTAAAATTAAAATTTATACATCTTTAAAATAATTTGAAATTTTAAAGCATTAGTTAGAAATTTATTTTGAAAATCAAATAGTGTCGCTTCGATCGTTTATCAGCTGGGACTGTTTACAAACAGCGAAAGGTCGATTATTAGGTCAAGGTAAACGAACGACGTTTTCGCGATTTGAAAGAGAATTCATTTGAAAACTACGAAATAAATAAAATTTCTGACGTTATTTGACATTCTTAAATTCAAATCATTGCAAGGAACAAGTAAGTTTTTGATTTAAATTAAGATATTTTGATGTAAACATTTGAGAGGGAAAAAGTTGCTTGCAAACAAAGGAGCACTTTTTGTTTCAAAATACGAAGTAATTATATTTTGATGGCGAAGATATTTAATTAGATTCTTAGATAATTGTTAATAGCAATTAAGGTGATCGTTAAGATAACATAATCGTGCAAAAATAAAATAAATTAACCGTTAAAACTGTAAAAAATTATATTTTCGTATATTATAATTTGGAGATAAAGTATGAATATGATATAAACATATGGTTTACTTTAAATAATAATTTTAAATATTTAAATATTCATAAGGTTAGTAACAGTACGTGAAAATTCTGTTATATAAATGCATTGATGAGCATATAAATAATGCAACTGTTACTTTTCCTTTGGTTAAAATTACTGTTTACATTTTTTTTTTTTTTAAATAACTTTTCTTATTAGTGAACCTATAACTAACTGATTTACTTATTAAATGGATATTTGATATTAGATTTCTTATTATATTTTATTCTATTTATGATATATTTTATATTAAATTAAAATTATTCAGATATTAGGATTGTAAATATATATAAATTTTTAGTATTAAAACCACACTGTTTATTATAATGCTGTTGATACATTTTGTTATTTTCCATTTATAAACCCAGTTATCGGTTTAATATTAATAATGTTACTTATTTAATCTTGTTGATTATTATATCTTTTTACTTGATTAATTTGGAACAGATAAGAATAACTGTATATAGTATATACATATATATATATATATATATTGTATGAAATATAATTTTTCTGATAATTAAATTGTAATTTTTTGTAGAAATCAAAGGATGGTGAGATATTAAAATTCTTATATCAAATTATTTCATCTCTTTACTAGAAGTATGTTAAATTTAAATTTTGAATTAAAAAATATTTTTTTAAAATAAAATAACTGATTAATTAAAAGAATAATGAGTAATTTATTATTTAATTGAGAAAATTATATGCAAAATTTAATTTTTTCAACATCAATTTGTCATCATACTTTAATTTTTAAATTAACTTAAATTTTTTCTTAACAAAAAAAAAATTATTTAGGTAGTGAGTGTAATTAAATATTATGAAGATATAATAAATTTAGAAGTAAATTATTTTGAATTTTTAAAACAAAAAAATAAATGATAATACTCTTTTGTTTTAAGAGTTTATTTTTATTAAGACTTGATTATGTATATGTATTAATTTACTAGTAAGTATAAATAACATCTTTCATATTTGTATACACATATATTTGGTGTTTGTTTATATTGAAGTAGAATTATCTAATTTATCATTTGTGTTTTTAAACAAGATAAATTTCAAAAATACAAATGTTAAATATCAATAGTACCTAATAGTGCATTCATTTATGCTATTTATATACTGTATCTGAAACCTGTGTGTAAAATTTTAAAATTGATTGAAGAGAATTCCATTTTATTCATTTAATGTCAAGTATTGAAAGGCTTTATTTTAGAAAAAATGAGCCTAAAGTATATTGACATTATTTCTTGTTTATAAAATGTATTCTTGACATATAGGCCTATTATGTAATTGTTAAGAAGACAAAATGAAAATGAAGTAATTGAATATTCAATGTATATTGTGTAAGAAGGAAAATCTGAAAATGAAACTTGTAAACATTCCTTTAGTTTCAGCAAAATTATAGCAATTGTTTGAAGTGATTTTTACTGGTAATGCACACTTTAGAACAGATGTAATGCAAGTCTTTTGAGCATTATTTCACTTTCTCAACAATTACATAATTTACATCACACACATGTTTTATGTTAACAGAATATGATATCACCAAACTTCTGCTTCATTCTTTACACAACAAAATTTATGTAGTAATTTGTTATTTATGGTAAATACTTAAATTGATACTTTTTGTAATTCTTATGATTTAGAAATAGGTTTGAAGTCAATCTATAAATGATGTTTTAATATTTACATGTTTTAAATATTTATATAATTTTATTTTACAATCTTTTTAAAATTGTAAAATAAAAAAAACACTGCTTAAATCTGTATTTATGAATTGAGATTTACTTTACTTATTTTTTCATTATAAGTACTCTGTAAAAAAATTGAATATTAAAACATTAAACAATAAATAAAGAGAAAATCATGATTTTAGCAAAAACAATTAGAGATAAGAACAAAATAATTTCAAGCATTCTAATATTTTTCTGGTTAGTGTTGTTAGAATGGTATTGGATTTAGAATGCACCTTGATGTAGTCAGTATAAGTAATATAAGAAAATTTTATTGACCATGGAAAAAACTGTAAAATAAGATAAATAAGATAAAGAATAAGAACTTTAACTTAAATGTTTACAATTTAATTTATTTGTGAAAAGAAATATTAGAATATTAAGTAATAAAAGCAATAATTGTATAAGTTTAGCTTAAAAGAAAATATTCTTTCTGCGTGTCTGGGAGGCTTTTTAAAAGGTATTCCATGTCCGGGATGAGCTAAAGAGCAGTGAGAAATTAAAAGAAAATAATACTTTTAATATTCAGCATAAAATTTACAAAAGAACAAACATTTTCTACTATCTTAATAGCAGTCATCAGATTTGTAAAGATACTATTTTTTATTGTGATGATATCTTTCTGTATTTGATTGAACCTGATGATGGATAATTAAATTATCCATAAACAATTGTTCTTGTGTAAATTTTTTAAAGTATAGCGTAAGTTAAAAAGTTTTTAAATAATAAGTAATAATGTGATTTTTTTTATTTTTAAAACTTTTTAATGTATACTAAATATGTGAAACATCCTACAAATATCAAAACAAAAATGCAAACTGAGAAACAATTTATTTCATTGACATACTTTAATAGAAAGAAATATTACAACAATATAAATAATATTGCTAAGTATTGAGATTAAAGAGAAAATATTGTAATCTTTCATAATTTTTAATCATAGTATATAATAATAATTAGAATATATTAAAATTCTATTTTGATAATTTAGATTTGTGAGAATACCTGTCCAAAAATTACATCTTAATTGCATTAATTTATTTTAATTTTAAAAATAACATTTTATATAAACTAAAGTTTACTCTTAAATAAACTTTATTTTTTTTATGTCAATAAGTAATGCTTAGTTGGCAAAAAAGTATTTGTTTGATTTGATTTGATTTGAGATTTTCTGTCTTCCCTTTATTTTTATTTTGAGTTGATTTAATTAATTCCCTTATTGGCTTAGATCAAGTTTATTTCTTACACAAATTTAAAAAGATGGAATATGTTTCTATTTTATATTTAAATAGTTTAATGAGGTTATTTAAAACTTCTAAATCAAATACTGGTACACTTAACATTTATCACTTACAATCTTAGCTAACTTTCCAAAATAAACTTACTTAAGTTTAAGTAATTTCAAATACTCAAGATAAAGCATAATGAAAAAAATTATATTTTTTTTGTTTAATATATTTTTGATTTTGATATTTGTTTCTTTAAAGTTTTTTTAAAATTGATCAGTGATTCTATTGAATAATTAAAATTAAATGTTCTTAAACTTATAAATATTTTAATATTTAATATCAAGAAATATCTAATATGAAAATTTTTAGGACCAAAATTGTTTTAAAATATTATATGAAAATTTTATTTAAATTTAAATAATATAGCATTTAGTAGATTTTAAATAAATACAATTACATGCTAAATTATGAAACATGGTGTTTGTATTTTTGTTTTTTCTTGTCATTTTTGCAATATTGTTATGTAGTCTTTCTAAAAAGTTGTTTAAGCAATGGAATAAGATATTTAAAAAATAATTGAAATAAGAATATTTATATATATATATTTGTTATATTAGTTAAATATTTTTATACCCAAAACACAAAAACTGTTTTTCTGTAGTTTACATCTTTATAATCCTAATGCTTTCTGGGTTTTCAGGGACAACCAACACAAAAATAGTATAACATCAAAACAAAAAATCACACTTCAAGAATTTCAGTTGGAAAACAAAAGAACCATCTGTCTGTTTAACACAAATTTAACACAAACACTTTTTCTCTCCTAAATTTATATTTTTACATATAATTTCTATACAGAGTTGATAAATTAATTATTATTGTAAATTATAGAAGAAAACAGGAAAAAACCTTGAAGAATTATAAGCAGAAATATGAACTATGGTATTTATGAGTATAACTTAGAAATAATTAATGAAAATGCCTAAATTGGAAAAATTACTTCTGAAGAGAATAATAACAATGAAAGAGAGATTTTTAATCAGGAGTATAATTTATAAGGAGATAATTTCTTGCTTATCAGACCATTATTATTTACAGTTTTTATGATATAAAATAAAATAATATGGAAACTCAAATCTAAGAAATATTATGTAAGAACTACCATATATCATTAAGACCAAATTGTTAGTGCAAAGAATTTACTGAATTTTATCAAAGGGGATGATTAAAAGTCAAAATTTCTATTTAGAAGACAGATCCCAAAAAATTATAGAGAAGATAGAGGGTTTCTTAGAGTGGTTACAGTGCAAAAAATGTTAATAAGGAAGTTTGAAAAAGAAGTAGACTCTTCAATATCTAAAAATACTACAGTATTCATAAAAAAATCAAAACTATTCCTAATTATACAAAAATAGTTATAGAATATTGCTTTTAATTTTGAAGAATTAACAGACAAAGTTAACTTGGCAAAAGGAAATGTGGTTATCAGAGAGAGAAAGACAAATGATCATCAGATTATCTGTTGTATTTAAATAATGAAAAATATAGAATTTGGATGTGTATGAAAATTGAGTGGTTTAATGGCATGATTTAAAAAATAAATTATAGTATTCTTCAGCAAGCAACAAAATAGAGGCTCAGTTATAGAATGGAGTGCCTTTTAATATATTAGACTATTATATTAAAATGTCCCATTAAAGTGTCCCATTCTAAAGATACAATTTTGAAGTATGATAACTTTGCTTAAAATATTTAACTATTACAGTTTTAGCTTTCATCAATGAGAAACAGACATCTCAAGATTATTAACAGATATTAATACTTCATTACTATTTTATTATACATGTGATGTTTTCTACTTTATTTAAATATGTATTGAATTTAACAAAAAATCATTTTTATAATATATTTATTTATTGCTTTACATATAATAAACACATTATTTCATGAATCATAGTAATATAAAATGTCCACAAAACCTTTGTATCTCCAGTTGTAAAGTTTTTTAATTAGTGACTAACATTTACAATCTTAAACAGATCTGTGGACATTTTTTTATTACATTAAACCCAGTTCATTTGTATTGACATAGAAATATAAATCGTAGTATTTATCAAATAATATTTTGCATTAAGATGTTAATGATTAAACTGTAAAAAAAACTCTACTATCAAGTTAGAATGTATTAGTTTCATCTTTGAAATTATAAAAAAGTAATTGGATCTTATCAAATCATACAAACTGAGTGAAAGTGATAAATTGGCAGACTATTTTTATTTAAATAATATCTTACAGTAACATTTTTTTAAAAGATAAAATAACAGAAAAACTGCATTACAATTTTTCCTATAAGCTTATGATACGGCCAGAATAAAAACTTAACTTTTTTTAACTTCATTAGGAATTCATGTGATGAATTTTATGCCATAAATTTTAGTTAGAATTCATTGCTTGATTTTTGTTAAAGCAGTTTAAAATAAATGAATTTTTATTCTCATTGCATTATAATCTAGACATGACAAACTTAATTAGCATTTTCATTATAATTTTTTATAGAAGACTTTGTTGGTTCATTTAAGAAATATTTAATCATTTTTTATTAAATAGAAAGATATAGAAACTTACAAACATAAAACTAATTTTAATAACTGTATTTTAGATATTTATTTATTTTTTATCACATTATCAACAAAATTATATAAATTACAAAAGGAAATTTACTCTAAAATAAAAATTCCTTAATTTTTTTTATGATCAACTAAATGTACTAGTCACCACATTTTTTAATAATTATTTAAGTATTTTTTCCTTCAAATAAGTTAACTTAATATTTTAACACTTCTTTAATCAGTTAAAGTTTATATTATATTTATGAAATTTAGCATTTATTTCATTGATTTTTGAATATGTAAAATTTATGACTTAATTTAAAAACATAATTGACTGTCTGCAGTCCTAAAAATATCATCATTATATTGCAGTAAGTAAATAATGTTTTTTTATTATACTTATTAGATTACTAAAATTTATAGGTATCATTTATATAGTAAGTAAACAAAGCAACATACCACATAAGTTATAATTCAAATAATGCAATATATTTTAATTTAAGAATAGATGAAATATCAGTTACTTCATCATTTTATATTTGAAAGCTGTGTATAATTAATATTTTGAATATTACTTCATTGAAATATGGAGATATTTTTTGAGGATGAAGAAATAATATACAAAAAAACATTTTAGAATAATAAATATGTTATTTAAATAGTTAATTTAATTAAATATAAATTAGTTAATTTGAATTAATAATGGTTTGTAAGAAAAAGAATTTTCTGTTATAATGAAATTTCTTTCATAGCAAAAACAATTATTGAATAGGTTTTAGTACACTATAAAATATCTTAAAATGTAAGTTTATATTTTGAATTGTTGTCTGAAGAAGCAACAATAAATTTCTGAAAGCATAAAGATTTTATATTGTTCTATATATTTTACATCAATTATTGTTTAAATAAGAAATGAAAAACTTTATATTTACTAAATAAAAATAACAAGTTACACTTTAAAAAATAATTCTTTGTATCTAACCATTACAAATTTTTGGCAGAGAACCAAAACAGTAAGCAAGTTATTTTCAATGAGTTGAAAACATTCTGAAAATGATTGAAATTTACAATAGAGAGTTGTTTATTATATAATATTTTTTTCTATAAGAAAGAAGTAAATATATTTTTTATTTTTTATAATAGCTGAATATGAAATTATTTGTGCATCTTTACTTTATGAAATATAACAATAATTTACTGAATAAAAATTTTATTGCAATTGTTGTTTTAATAGAAAGTACTTATCACTTTAATTTTTATAAAGCAGACTTAGAATAAATTGTGTGTTTTAAAACAAAATATTGGATTAATGTAGCAATCAAGAAATTTTATACTTTACAAATGACTGATAAATGCAAGCATTTATTTAAAACTATGAATAATATATCACTTCATCAATGTTTTTAGATTTGATGTGAGTAAGTTCTAAATTAGCCTTTACATTAGTAATTGAACATAAAGATTGATTTATAATAATGATAACAAAACTTGTCACTGTAATGATATGAAATTAAACGAATGAGAATGCTTAGTCTTGAATGCCAAAAACTTTAATATATAAAATTATGACAGAACAATAACAGGTGTATGAGACCCTTAGATGTCTGGCTACATGCACATTACATTGAAGGAATCAGCATATGTTTATCCATCTGGCAGGATTAGATAATCCTATATGAAATGTTTCCAGTCAATTATATGATTATCATACAACTGCACATTTAATAAAATAGAATGATGTAAAATATAATTAAAATAATAATTACTTGTTTAGAATTCATGTTCTAAACAAGTAATTATTGACTTAAAATTAAATTTAATAAATGTAAAATATTTTTTAAAATAAAAGGAACAAGAGTTTGAACTGATATTTAAATATTAATAATCAGTTTTAGTTTCAGCACTAAGTACAGTAGTTACCTCACTGTACATGACAACCAACCTAAATTTGTTTGTAGATTTGATTACGATTTTTATTTTTTACATTATGAAACCAAATTTCAGGCTGATTAGTTAATTAATATTTAAAATATCTAGTAAGGATATAGAAAAAAAAGATCAGCAAAAGCAAAAAGTGAGCAGTTAGATCTAGCATAACATATTTAACTTATCCAGTAGGATTTACACAGTATAGATAAATTAAGTAGAAATCTTTTATAAAGTGAACATTGGTTCAATTAATTTGAGAATATATGCAATGTATTTGAGAGAATACACCTACAAATGCCGTAAATGTATATTTTAAGCAAATACACCTACAATTGCTGGCAGTTGTAGGTGTATTTGCTTAAAATATCAGGTTTCGATTGATGTGTATATTTTGTATTTGAGAGAACCATATTCTTTTAATTTTGAAGTTTTTAAAACTACAAAATTAAAGCATTAAAATTAAAATTCCCTGTATCCTTGAGCTAAAATTTTTGGTATTTTATTGTCATTATCTTCCAAGTACATTTGTTCTTCTTAAAGCATGTTTCTGCTTAACAATGGCATCAGGTAGAAAGTTGTTCATGACACATAGTTAGGACTGTTTTGTGCAACATGGAGATGCATGAACAGAAATTGTACAATACTGACACTGCTTTTGATTTTGTGTTGAATACTTATTGAAATAAAAAATCATTCTGTACACATGATTCAATGATCAAAAATACCTATCTATATTGTGTTATATTTCATTCCAGTTTCTTAAAAAATATTCCAGAGTAACAATAAAATACAATTCCTTTAGAATTAATACCTGAAAAAGCCACAATAATTAGCAAAAATACTGAGGGTATCTGATAGATACATTATGTGCACTCACATTAAATTTCCTATTGCATTCACTCCAGTGTTAAAAGAAGATAAAATATTTTAAAATGGATTTACTCAAGTAGATTTTTCTCTGAATAAAGCATTTTCATTAAATTATATAAACGTTTATTTAAAATCAGATATATTGGACAATGCAAGAACAAACTATTTTTTAAGCTTACATTCAAAATTTTAAATAAAACATTATTCAATAGCCAAATGTCAAAAAAGTTGCCAACATCCTGCATTCGGGCACATTTTTTTATGCTCGAGAAGTGCTTTACAGCAAACACTCTGAAACCCATTTCTAAATGGCCAACGCTGCTCGTGACGTCATTTTGCTACACTCTCACTGCATAAATAAACACGGCCTTCTCTATAGGGTTGCCAACTCTCCATGACTTGCCAGGAAACTCCTGGAATTTGGCAAAAATTTTAAAAATTTCATACTTCTAAATTGAGTCTTATTTTATCTATATTTACTCAATATAATGACCACCTTTTGGGTTATATATTAAAACAGATTAAAGAATAGGTAACAGTGTTTTGATATTGCTGAGAGTAAAGAGAGTCAAATCCTCAATTTTTTTTTTACTTTTGGTAAGGAAAACTCCCAGAATCAACTCTTTGAAAATTGGCAATTTTTTGAAATTTACTGAAGAATTTGTTTTTAGTGAACTTAGTCATAATATATTTGCAGAATTTTCAATTGAAAGTAGACAGTAATTTGCTGCTTATTAGAACTGACTAATCATTTCTAGTAGTTATATATTTTTGGTTTAACTTACAAAATTTTCAATTTAATACCTTATTTATTAATTTTATATCATAATCAAAATGTTCTTTGTATCATGAAGAAATGAAATAAAATCAATTATAGCATTTTATAATATTTAAACTTAAGAAGTACAATGATTTTATCTAAAAAGATGGTTATGAAAAGAGACATTCAAAGTTTGAAATGTTTATATTTAGAATATTTATAAATTGAATGTATTAAAGATTGATTATATTTAAGTTTTGTTTCTATCTTAAAATTTTTATTAGAATTAATTTCTAATTTATTAATTTTAAAATGTCACTTATGTTCATTATAGCCAATAGAGCCATGCCGTGCTGCTCCTTCACGGATGCTCTATATGCAAAGTATGGAGAAGAAATGGAGGATAAAGGATGCAATCCATGTGAAATATTTGTAGTTGGTAGTGCACCAGGTCGTTCAAGTCCAAGTGGGAGGCTAATTATACCTCGTGCATTAACATTGAATTGTTGTGGAATAGAAAATGCTGGCTCACAAAGGACAATTGAGGAACTCTGTCATGATGTTGAAGAATTAGATTTAGCTCAGAATCAACTTAATGATTTAAAAGAAGTATGTTACTTAATTATTTATAGACATATAAATCTAAACATAAATTATATTATTAATATATATTGAATAAAAGTAGCTTATACACATTATAAAAGTATGGTTTTTTTAATTAATTGTGATGATATAATCAAAGTTGTTACAAAATGTTTATTTGAATGAAAATATAAGTATAGAAATTATATTTTTAATATTGCTAATGTTTGTAATCTGTGTTTACTACTAGAATTTAAGTTATAAAAACATATACTGGAACATTTTCATGTTTTTCTAAGCACTGAAATATTTTTAACAAGAAATCACTTATTTCCAAATAAATTAAAATCAAGAACTGAATATTTCACTTGTTTGTAAGGTTGATTAAGTTAATAAAATCACTATATAGTAAGATGATATATTATCTTATAGCATGAAGAATCATGAAGGATCTGGATTTAAATTTTCATCCAGTTTGTATGGATGCATAAATCATCTGTTATCCATTTTGGCCAATCCAATTTCCAATTTAGCCTGCCTATAATGGCAAAATTGAAACCATTGTATAATCTGAAGCTCTGAATATATGAGTATTTGAACCTTTTCCATAAACTTTGGTGGCAAGTATTATTTGAACTGACTAATAATAGTCACAGTTTATAATTGACCATTATTTTTACCATAGAACATATTTAGATTGTAATTTGAAGTATAATATCAAGAGATTGTGGCATAACAGCCTACCTCTAGCCAAATTACCTTACATCTGATCATTAAAGCCTTAATATAGTCTGATAAATAATCTGGCAGATTGTTTGGCAACACTGATTTGAAGTTTAGTTGAGAATTTAAGAAAGTTTACAATTTTAAGGCATTTAATGTGAGATTAACTTGATCACATATTCTCATAAATCTAATTACAATACTTACATATGACTACCAGATTAAATTGGGCTAATTTTCTGCAATTATTTTTAATTAATTTCTAAATAATTATTTAGAAATCAATTGATTAATTAATTAGTTGTTTGGCTTATTACTAATATATTGGGTTTTAAGATGTTTGTATATCTAGTTACTTACTTATTTCTAAATCACCAAGTTTAACTAAGAAAATGTATATAAGATGTTGAAATTAAATAATTGTCACACTAAAATGTTCAAATATTTATTAAAGTAATGATAACCTTAATTTTCTCTTCTAAATAAACATCTTCAAATGTATATAGTAGAATCTGTTTGTTGTAATCACTGGAACTTGCCTATACTGATTATAACCAACTAATAATAATATACGGGACAATATTTAATGGAAATTCTAGTTTTATAGATTCATGGCATTAAAAGGACATGTTAAAATGATTAATTAATTATAGTTATTTTTAATTCATAGTAATTTATCCATTAGGTAGTTGAACTAATAAATACCAACATTCTGAATAAAGCATTTAAATAAAATATTTTTAAACTATAGTACTTTGTACAATTATTAACATTTAACTGACTGACACTAATAACATTTATACAAAAAAAAAAAAAAAACTGGATG